ATAACTTTTTGCTTGATCGTCTTAAGAGAGCATTGCCTTAGTGGATGAAATGGATGAACCACAAACAAAATTAGTTGACTTTCTCAAATATGCATATCTCCTTTCAGCCTCTTCTGAGTCGGTGTGTGTGGGTTTGTTTTTATGCTTGTTTTTTAATTGGGAATATAGTCCACATTTGGTAAATGTCCTCACTCCGTTTTTGATGTTTTATAAGACTTCCAGACAGTGAGAGGCTGACACCATGCCAGCAGTGTGGTTTAAAATAATGTCAGCTGGAGCCAAGATGAAGAAATACTAATCTTTTTTGCAAATTATCATTTTTTCATGTTAGCTGAATGTTTGAAACATTTTCTGTGTTTGTTTGGGGTTTTATGTTCCAGCACTGAAAGAAAGTCTCTTCTCCCTCCATTGTTGGTATGTTGTTTCTGAATAATTCATTGCTTGGCAGACTATTAAGAAAATAGTCTCTTCAAAATGGAATCCTTCTAACAAGTCTCCCATCCATTTCAAGCAAATGTGGTGGCATATGTTAGAAAAGTAGGCTTTGTGTTTGTAAGAGTGGCGTGAGTATTTTTTTAACTTTTTAAACAGGATCTCTCAATTCTTTTTAAGCCCTTCAGAGGGCTTTCTGTTTCTCTAAAGCAGATCAATGCTGATTTGTTGTGATTCCAGAATAATAACCATGATGAAGTACTAAGAACTTGGATTAAGAGTGGCTCTTCAGCTGTTGAGTAAGATTTTGGTGTTGCTCTTTCTTATGCAGTATTTACAAAAGTCCTAAAGGAAGTGATGCTAAGAATTAGGGAGGATGGTACTGATATGTTCAACACAACCTGTGAACAGAAATCAAGACGAGGGCACTGCACTGCGCTTGGAGGTGCACACTTATAGAATGAGAGGCATCGTACCCAAGTTGCAATGAAGTAGATTCCTATGAGACAGTAGGAGCATTTTTTGCCAGTGAGGGTGGTTGGGCCCTGTAACAGATTGCCCAAAGGGGCTGTGGAATCATCCCTGCTGAACATTTTGGGAGTAAAGTGGGAATAGCCCACTGTAACTTAAATTAAGTGGGCCTGCTTTGAGTGAAAGGCTGGATTAGGGCAACTTGCATTATATCTGTAACATTATCCTATGAATCTAGGTACCATACTGAAACATACAGTAACATCAATTTTTTTGAATTTTACGTTTCCTGTAAAAACAGTTGAGGATCAGGTTGGTGTGTTGTGTGTCCTTTTTTTGGGTAGGTTTTGGTTTTTGTTTCGGGTTCTTTTTTGTTTTGCTTTTTGGTTTGCCTTTTTTTTTTTTTTCCCGGTTTTTTTTTTTTGGGTTGGTTGGTTGGTTTGGTTTGGGGGTTTTTGTTGCTTTTTTGGTTTTGGGTTTTTTTAGAATGGAGGAATGACTTCTTGCCATTCCAGCAACATGGATTTGACAGAGAGGGACTGTGTTTTGGCTCCAGTGTTCATTAGCTGACTAAGTACAAAATAAGACTTTAAACTTTTTAATCAAATGTCATGGTTCAGTTAGTTGATTGAGAGTTTCATAGTTATCTACAGTTCTTAACGTTTGAGACTGCTTGCTTTCATACATTACTATTTGAGCAGATACATCTCAGAAGAACTAACAGTTTAATTTAGAAGAACTAAAGAATTTCTGTATTACAGAGGTTTGCCTTTCTTGGCTTTGGCTTTCTAAAAACTAAATTAAGGTATGGTATTTTCTGTTGTCTGCTAACTGCTGTGAGGTTTACAGTTTTTAAATGAGCTATTAGGTTTGGAAAACAATATTGTAAGTGTTCAGAATTTGGTCTGTCCTCTGAATTTACCTATTTTTTATATAGAATGGTAGCTTTCTGTGTTTAGCTTCTGAACTTGACAGTGATCCTGTGAAAGATTTAGAAGCTCTTGAGCATGCATCAGTGAATGATGGGTCACATTACAAAATACAGCAAATGTAAATATATCTTTTGGAGGCTTGCTATTCTTACTAAATCCTGCGCAGTCTAGAGAGTCTCTGAAAAAAGTGTCAATTGGGAGATATGTTTTTGTCTGATTTTTTTAATATACTTTTTTAGGCAGCTTAGGTTGTGCTTTGGCAAAGTAAACTTATCATCTCTCTATTATTGCTTCAAGCTAGTGTGTATCACTTTAATGTCAACCTGATTCTGTGTGTTTTCTTTTTACAGCAGCCAGTGTTAGATGTTGAGCTCACGCTAACTTCATTGAGTTATGGTCTCTGTGATTATGATTGTCTAACTGTCATCAGCAACTTGGGATCAGTCAATATACAAAGAAGTTCAGCTTGTTTATTACATGGATAGGCAGAGGTAGTAAATTCATAGAATCATATGATAGTTCAGGTTAGAAAATACATCAGGAGATCATGTCCTTCATGTGATGGAGTTACTTGTAATAGGACCTGAGGGAATGGCATGACTTGTGTCAGGGGATATTTAGGTTAGGTATTGGGGAAAAGTTCTTCACCCAGAGTGTTTGGGCACTGGAACAGATTCTCCAGGGAAGTGGTCACAACAGCAGTCTGACAGAGTTCAAGAAGTGTTCAGACACATGGTGTGATTGTTAGGGATATCCTATGCAGGGCAGGATTTGGACTTGACTATTCCCTGGGTCTCTTCCAGCTCAGGATATTCTATATAATCCAGCTGCTCAAAGCAGAGTAAACTGAGGTCAGATCAAGTGGCTCAGTGTGTTATCCAGATATCTGTCTGTGCTTTTAAGCTGCATGGTTTCCTGGGAATGTGTATTTAGACTTCGGCAGTTTCTGGTTTTAAGGTTAGATTTCTTGTTTTGGAGGTATGTGAATTCTTTTTTAGCTTTCTTTTCAACATATAACTGTTTGAGAATGGGAAGATAGGTTCTGTGAAAGAGATCACCTGGAATTCCGATTTGAAAAAATACCTCTTTTTCAAAGGGAAGGTGTTTAAGGGAGACCTGGATTTGTCTGGAAAACAGAGGAATAGGCTGTGTGATTCTTAGTCAAACTTGATGTTTTGGATGTTGTGTAGTCTTGCCGTTTAGTTCCAGTTTGTATGAGATTACTGGCATGGACAAGTTGCATGTGTAGAAGCTGTCAGTAGCCTAAGCAGAAGGATGTCACTTGATTAAGGATACTTCAGTGGAAAGCACCTGGCAAACATGCTTTGCTTCTTTGACATTACTACATGTTGATATGCTAAAAAAGTAGCTTTTTAAGAGTCTATTTAAATGATAAAAACAGATGCTAAGACTTCTGAAGGACACTGAGATTTTGTCAAAAGACATGTCATCTTGCATTCATGGGAGGGCAGCAGTTAAAAATAACTAACTTGGTCTTCAGTTGCGTGTTTGATAAACTCAGTATTTGTATGCTTGATAAATTGAAATAAACTGAAATTTTCAGGGTGATTAGACTCATGTAAAATCTTAAATATTTGAGAAATATATTTTTATTTCATTTTTGTACTCTTAATGTTAAAATAACCAGTAGTATTTATAACAAGCTGGGGTTGAGATAACATAGAAGTAGGATTTGGCATATCAATTATGATGTACTTGTCACCAATAATGTCTTGAGAATATTTTGTACCTTCTGCTTGCTTCTGATCTCCAGATCTAATGCACATTTCTTCTCCTGCAGCCGTGTACTTATGATTATATATGATCACTTAAAATAAGTGTTTGGTGTGGGGTGATAACAGCTTGGCTGCCTTATATGATGAAAGTGGTGCTTTACTTTTGTTTGGCAGTAGAAACATGGGTATCTTGGGATGCCTTCCCAAGAGCAGCTGTATGGTTCAAGTAGACTAGTATCCCTTCTGAGCTGATAGTTAATGTATTCCAGATAGGAATATGAAAGACATCCTGTATTAACCACCTATCCACGTGGAGACTTTCTTCTTAAGCATTGTGAGTGGTAGCTTAGCTTTGTATTTCCTAGTATGACTGTGTATCATCTTCAAATGCAATAATGAGAAAAAATAGTTGATGATGAAATCTGCAATTATGTTATTTACTTCCCTCTGAAGTGATACAGAACAGGCAGGTAATTAATATGGAATTACTTTACATACTGTGGAATTACTTTATGTTTTTAATTAGTTGCTATGATTAGTGAATTTAATTTCTTATATGAGGTTGTAACATTAATGTCTCTGTTTTTTCTTTATATGTGTCATTAGTTCTGCTAAATTTTTTTTCTATTTCCCTCTAGGAAGCAATTCAAGTTTTCTGCAAAGTCTGAGTATTTATGTTATCTGACTGAACTGACATCTTGGTAATATGCCATTTTTTTTGCAAGCTTCTCTCTACCTTTCTAAATAAATACGAAGGGGTATGGCCTCTTTTAAATTTTACTTTTATTAATTTTTAAATTTTTACTAAGTCCTCTTGGTGTAACAGGTTAACTGTTCTGAAAAGCAAGAGAGGCATTCTAAGTTCTTTTTCCCAAGACTAGAGGACATGGGTCACCATTGTATAAAATGCAGGCTTAAATAAAAAGTCTGACACTGATAGCTTGCTTACACATCTTAAAAGTTGCATTGTTTATTGGAGATTCAAGGTGTGCTGAAGCAACCATGTCTGCATCTCTGCATGAGCAGAGAAGGGATCATCCTGTTCTAGTAGCTGCAAGAAAACAGCATGGGACAGGCCTTCTGGAGAAATCTCTTCGTACTGTAGGTTTTATCACTTTTTGAAACTGAGGTGTCTACTGCCCTGGAAAGACCTGTTACCTTTCTGTTGCTTCTTCCAATAGTTCTTATTTTCAGTCCTTTGAATATCTAATGAGAGAGACTTTCTGTCCTCCTTCAAAAGTGAATGAAATTTTCATAAGGTTGATTTGGTAGGCTTGCTCTTGATATTCTAGAAGATACTCATTTTTTCAGTGCCAAAACTTGTATGATTATTTTCCTATTAAGTTGGAAAAGTGTGTATTATTCTTGCTATCATCTTTTTTTTTCCTTTTCCCCGGCACAATGGGGAATTTATTAATATTTATTAATATTTTGTATTATTTTTGCCTTCGTTATATAGTTCAGTCACTGTTCTATAATATATCCCATCTGAATTTTTTTTGTTTGCTATTGGTTCTTCTAGTGGCAGTGTTTACTGTCTTGAGGGAAAATTGTAATTTTTTTCTAGAAAATAAACAACTTTTTTACTTCGGATTTCACTATTAAGTCTTTGGCTCTTCTGCCTTAGTAGTGCTTGGATTCTGCCTGTGGTTATCCTGATCACCTTCTTCTGAATTGCTGCCTAGACAAGTAACTAGAGTTGTGTTGATACTGCCGTTTTCAGGATCTGTGTAGGCTAATTTCTTCTTTACCTGTCATGAATCTTGGTTTTTAGTGTGCTCACTTTCTGTTTAACTGGTGGCTTGATGCCATTGCTTGAGCTCTTCTTGAAGAGTGACCTCGAATAGGTCTTCCTCAGCACCACAGAAACCTACATGCTTCATGTAGTAGTTTTTAACTGATGACCTAATGCACTAATTTGCAAGGATTTAATGTGCATCTGGTTTTCAGAAGGTTAAAAATAATTCTGCAATTTAGAAAAGTTCAGTTTCTAAGTATAGGTTCTCACTTATTTTATGTACTGCAAAAATCAAGCTGCTCTTTTATTCTTCTGTAATGGGAGGTCACTAGATTTATAAATCTAAATCTCAAATACTGTGAAATAAGTTTGATTTTTTCCCCCCATTGTTTACTTCTTAACTGTGAGAATTGGAAGTCTTCCTAGTCCTTTTTGTGTAGGACAGTGCAGATTTGAATGAGTGGGTGTTGGATATGTTTCTCCATGGTTTATAGTGGAACATATGGTACTTCTCTGCACTGGAATAGTTCAGATTGATGTGGAAGTTTGCTGTTTGATAGTTCTTTTTCTTCTTGGTACCACTTCACTAAACATAGGAAAAAGATGACAAAAAAGAAATTAAAGATCAGACAACCTCATTGCAATATTTCTGTGTGAAACTTGGGGAACATGTGTCATCATTCAAATTCTGAAATGTTTTCCAGACTGAGCTAGCTGAAAACCAGTATTTGTAAGCCAGAGACAGTAAAATCGCTTTAAAAGAAAACAGTGTAATTTGATGACTTCTGCAGTGTGAGAACTTAATGTAGTAGGTTGTAAGCAAACATGACCTGCTCTATTAATTAACTAGAATGCTGGTCAAGTTCTGTAACAATACAATTTTCAGAATAATTTGAAAAATATAATACAGCTATGTATTATGAAAGATAACATTTTATTTTTAAAGGCATTGGCTTTGTGTGGTGTTTTCTGACTAAGCAATTTGACTTGCTGCAAAAAAAAGTTAAATGAGCTTTTTCATTTTTTGATTTCTAATTTTTTCTTGTAAAGGTGCTTATGCCATCCCATGCTCAAAAGAAAGGAAAAATTTATAGTTCAAGTTTTAGCACAACAAACTGCTCCTCTGCCAATGAAATGATTTTCATCTATAATGTAGTCTTTAATTAATTTGTGTTTAAATAAAAGGGATTTCAGAAGGTTTACTTTCCAGCCCCATTATTTAGAGACAGATTCAGAATTATGCCTCAACTTAGTGACACAAGGCAAACTTAAAAGTGTGGTTAAACCTAAGAGTTGCTATGACTTTTCAATTGTCAAAACAATCTTGAATCTGAAATTACTTTAAGGATTTTCTCCGTCCATATATTGTGAGTTTTCCATCATTATTAGACAGAATACAATGACTCAAATTACCAGGATAGTAGGGTTTCACCATAAATCTGAGTCTATTGGTTGGTAAAAGGACTTATTAGTAGCATATTAGAGGGGCTGTTTTCTGTGCTCCTACAGTACTGACTTGCAAAATAGTATGAGGTTTACATTGTTTAGTTTCTGTGAGGTGACATAAAAGTTAGTGCCACCACGGTGTGTACACATCCATGTACATTGTACGAAAGTCTGAAGCTCTGTTAACACAAGTTACTCATTTATTCCCAAATGACTACAGCTGTGTTACTTTGATATGTCTCTTCCACAGACACCAAAGATGCTAACAAGGAAGATTAAGCTTTGGGACATTAATGCCCATATAACCTGTCGTCTGTGCAATGGATACCTGATTGATGCTACTACTGTAACAGAATGCTTGCATACTTGTAAGTAAAAGTATAATTAAGTTAAAGTTTCTGGCTTGGTTTTTGTTTGTTTCGGGGTTTTGTTTGTTTGTTTGTTTTGGGGTTTTGTTTGTTTTTTGTTTGTTTCTTTTTTTGTTTGTTTGTTTTTCTTAAGAGTTGATATGCAACATATTTCAATGATTTTCAGATGAAATTTAAAATATCTATTGTGCATCAGCCAAAATAGCATGTGCTTTACTAGACTGCTTTTCTTTAATAGACAATTTGCTTTTTTAACAAAGTAAATGAAGGGAACATTAAAGCTGTGCTGCATAAACTTGAAGCCATATATAATTAGTAGTAATCTAAATATTCAAGAATGCAGTCTGTCTTTGTGCTAGAGAAATGTCGAATACCTAGTTCTCTCTTCAGTGACAGTTGATGTAGCATATGTTCTCCACCTGGAGCCTTTTAAATGTCTCTTTCTCCTTTGTTTCTCTGCAGAAAGCAGAGTAGTTTATCGATAAAGAAACAAGTATGTTGTATTGTATCCTAAAATAAGCTTGTGTTCCAAAACTTTGTGATAGTCTTTAGTTGTTAAATTACTTTGTGAATTTCTACTTTCATGTAAGTGAAGGATGACTTAGAACCTTGCCATGCATCCCATGTTTTAAAATTATTCTGCCACAATATTTATGTTTATTCTGATGAAGCTATTATGTTGTTTTATTAGTTTGACTTAGTCCTAAATTTTGGAAGGCAATTATTTGGTGACTATATCTTCATCATAAAACAAAAAGCGTCAGCAGACTTCACCTTATATATCTGACAAAGGGGAAAGGCAATGCTTGTGATTTGTCAGTGATTATGTTTTGTATTATATTCCATTTAGAAGCTCTGTTTATCAGCCTTGATGAATTTGTTGTACTTGTCATACTTCATGTCGTTCTGGATATCCTTATAGAATCTAGGATCATAGAATGGTTTGTTCTGTGGTTCCAAGAACCACAAAATGACTGTAGAATCTATATCCAATCCCCTCGCCATGGGCAGGGTGAGCATATACTGGATCAGGTTGCTCAAAGCCCCATATAATCTGGCCTTGAATGCTTCTAGGGATGGGACATCCACAACTTCTTTAGGCAACTTGTGCCAGTTACCCTCACAGTAAAGAATTTCTTTCTAATACCTAATCTGAACCTATCCCCTTCAGTTTGAAGCCATTCCCCGTTGTCCTGTCAGTACATGCCCTATACGAAGTCTCTCACCATCTCTCTTGTAGTGCCCTTCAACTTTTGGAAGACTGCCTTATGGTCTCTCCAGAGCCGTCTTGCTTCATATTTCAATTCCCATTTCAGAGCTAGACTTCTGTTTAGTTTTGCTCAAATTTATTTACTGCTGCTAGTAAGAAGAGTGTTGTCTTGGTTTGAAAGACAGGTGTTTGCTAGGAAAGGCAAGAGCTTCTCTTGGACTGAAAAATGTAAACCCCCTTCCTCCAAATTAGTATCATTTTGAAATTAAGTGGTTCTCAGGCAAAGATACGGGGATAGGAATAACAGTTCTTTACTAGTATGTGTAACAAGGCAAACAAAACAACAACTGCAGCATTAACCCCAGCCAGAACAGGAACCCAGTTCCGATCCTCTCGGCCGCGGGTGCTTTCCCCTCGGTGCAGTTCCCGTCACGGCCAGCAGGGGCGCTGGCGGCTCCCGGCGGGCAGGGCAGGTGCGATGATTCCCCCGTGGCTGCAGGGGGCGCTGGGGTGATGGCGGCTGTGTCCCAGATGGGAAGGGATGGAAAAGAGAAGGTTTGCTCACCAGCACTGGGGACAGTGTTGGTCACAGCGCTCCAGCAAGATGCTTGGAAACAACAAGTGGGAGGGTGTCCTGCTAGGATCAGAGTGCAGGGTAAGGCAGAAGAAGAGGCAGCTCCTGGCATTGGGATGGTGGTGGTAGCAGTGACCCTCCTCTTTGAAAGTCAAGAGCTAGCAACTGCCTCCACTCTGCTTTTACCTGCTTCTAATCTTATGGTGTCTCTGTCCCTCCAAGAGAAACTCCCCAAAACCCGAGGAGTTCCCCCTTCTCCATCTCAAGTGCCCAGCCATCAGTGCTTCTTAACAACGCAATGGGAAAAATTCCACAGGTAACAAGGAAAAGAAAACCTAACCCCCAACAAGTGTATACAAAATGAGTATCATAACAAGTTAACGTGGCTCACAGAGAGCTAGAGAGAGATAATTTTCTATTTTCTTTAAAAATAAAACAAAACATCACAAATACCCCATAGCTGATATCTGCACCATCTCTTATATTTGCTTACAGAGGAAATACGTAGGTTAATCCACAGCACTGCAATGCTTGCTGCAAGTCAGGAAATGCACCTTACTATCTTCTCCTGCTGCTTTTTCTGGGGCAGCAGGATTTTCTTTGGCTGGTTTCTCCCTTATTTTGACAGTTTATATTTTATGAATACTACTTCACCCTGTGCCCTGTAGAATTAGTTTAGTGAGAAGAGGCACAGGGTCCTGTCTTTTTAACAAAACTTCATGCATTTTAGCATTGTTTGTCTTGTGTAAGATAAGGATAATAATGTATGTTCCTGGAATAGCATCCTTGCAAAATCTATCATGAAATTACCCTGCCAGTTGAGGTAGTGAATTGTCTTCTAAATTATACCACCTTGAAATTTTCATTCTGTTTTACTCGGAACTAAACATATTTCTTACCTTTTCAATTTTTCTCTGATTTCCTGATCTTCAGCCATTCAAAGACTCTTCAGTAGTAAATGAAGTTTTTGAGTTCTTTAGTGAAAGTAATTTGGAGGACCAAGGCCAGTTCCCTGGAGGATCAGGGCAAATTTTTGTAAAATTGAATTCAGGAGAAAACAAAGTGGTTTTGCTTTCATTCCTCCTTATTTCTCTGCTGTGATTTTAGCTTGTTCATCACAGGTAGGTCTCTAAGTCAATTGCTAAAAACTTTATTAGTAGTAACAGTCTTAAGTCTTTTTTTAGTTTGTATCTGTTCCTTGATTAAACCCTTATACTCGATGATACAGGAGGTCTTGTTAGACTTGGTGTTTGTAATGTCAGTTTTGTTAGTGTTGCCATGTGAAAGCTGTCCTTCTATGTTACAAAAGGGAAAAGATCACATTATGAAAGGAATCGTCTTCTGGATTTATCAGGATGATAAAAGGTCGACTTGAACTAGATACAGAAATGAAAAAAGTCAAGAGAAGTGAAACTGTTAAAATTAAGAAGTGAGCATTAGCTTTTTTCCCCCCCTTGTTTCTGTTCTGATAAAACCTCTCTGATACGTTTAAGAAATCAGAAAATGTACAGCTCAGTTCATGTCCACAATCAGTGTCTGTATATCTGGGTAAACAGAGATCAGAGATACTGGAAAACCAAGGTAATGGAAAACTCTAGTAATACTATTATTATTTTGTTTTACACCATAGAACGATTTCTATGTTGTCTGTCCATTACTCCAAAGACTTCCAGCTTCAGTAGAGTTTATTAATCCCAACCTGACCCCAGAAAAAAAACAAACCTAGATGGCTGCAGCACCCTTCATAAGCCATCTAGTGGCATTTATTTGGATGCTATGCTCAGACTGAAACCTACCAGAACATTAGCCAACTTGTGACCAGTTCATTTTAGGAGGAGTTAGTGTTTACCTAGTTGAAGCTGGAAGATGTACTGACATGGGATAATGTTTTAGATATCATAGAATCACAGAATGCTTTGGGTTAGAAGGAACCTATAAAAGTCACCTAGTGCATCGCCACTGCAATGGGCAGGGGCATCTTCAGCTGCATAAAGTTGCTCAGAGCCCTTGGTGAAGCTTGTGCTGGCTGTCTGGAATGACCTCGCTGTCCTCCATGTGCCTTAGCATAGCTTCTAGGAAGATTTGCTCCATGATCTTCCTAGGCACAGAGTTAAGGCAGACAGGTTGGTGACTTCTAGGACTCTCCCTTCCTGCCACTTCCTAAAAGTGGAAGCAATGTTTCCTTTGTTCTAGTCACTGGGGATTTCATGTCACTGTCAGGACTATCGCCGTAAGTGGCTTGGCAACTACCTCAGCCAATTCAAGACCCTGGGACACATCTCATCAGGTTCCAGAGGCTTATGTGTATTAATGTTCCCAGGTTTTCATAAACCTGGTATTTTCATACACTGGAAGAGGCTTTATGCTTCCAATGCCTCCTCTGTGGTTCATCTATGTGAGAGCTATGAGAAGAGAAATTGCTAGAGAAGACTGAGGCAGAAAAATTGAGTACCTCAGCCTTCTTCTTGTCCATTGTTACTGGTTTGCCAGTCATGCTTATCTGGGGAGGTACACATTCTTTGACCTTCTTTTTCTGACATACTTATAGAAACCCTTGTAATTCTTCATATCCCTTCCCAAGTTCAGCCTCAGCTGTGACTTGGCCTTTCTGAGCCCTCCCTACACATGATAGCAACATCCCTGTTGTCTTCCCAGAATACCTGTCCCTGCTTCCTCTGTCAGATTCTCTTTTTATTGACTTGATAGGAATGGAGTTTGGCTTCACTTTTGCAAATGGATCTACTGTTCTGGCACTCTGCTGGAACAAACTGCTCTGCTAAATGTGTCCTTAATGTGCAAAGCTATGCGACTTTGTCTAACCTTTGCCACCAACAGTGCTGTCATCCTAGGTGTGTAAATGCAAAGCACAATGCAAAGTTATAGTGCTTCATTTACTGATGCTTTATTTTTTTAATTAACAGATGTTTATGTAATTGTACTGTCTTCTTGTTTGAGAGGTAGATGGCACTATAGTTACAGAAATCCTTTCATTTTGTGTGATAAGTGCATTAATACCAATACTGCATGAACTAGTGCACTTCAAGAAAAACTCCCTTCTTTTCTCCATACCCTTTTCAGTTGTAACTTCAGGTGAGTGAGAATATCATGTAATAGTGTATTTTATGAGTACTCTTTTGGGGCAGGACAGAGAATAGTGGTGTATAAATAGTTTACTTTGAAAGAGATGGGTGATTGTGTGCATACATATAGAAACGTGCAGTTTAATAGTGAATGACTATTTTAGCAGCTCCTAGGAGGACATTTTACTAATACTGAGGGCCTGTGACAATGTAATATTTTTTTCTGTGGAAGTTTAGCTGTAGTGTACTCTGTGAAAGTTAGAATTAAAATAACACACAGATATCCACTTTCCTGCTTTGGAATTAGGTTTTTTGTTTTTTGTGTTGGCCTTATTGGCACCACACACATTTGTTCTGTTTGTGGCCAGGGTTAAAGCAAATACGTTTCGTTTGATCTCTTAATGGCATATAGTTCCTGTGATGTCATCCATGCAATGTTGACCTCCTATAAATTGTTGTTCTAGTAAATTTCAAATGAAATTTGAAAAGAATTTTAAAAGAAAATGAATGAAAGGTACTGCAAACTGTATTCTACAAGATCATGCACATCATGTACATATAATGTAAAAAAATGAACTTTATGAAAATTTCAGTAATGTGCATTCTGTGACTGTATAAAACAAGACTTTTATTATGCCACTTCTATTTGTTTTTAATTGTGAATATCTTTGTTACTAGTCTGTAGAAGCTGCCTAGTGAAATATTTGGAGGAAAACAACACCTGTCCAACCTGCAGGATTGTTATACATCAGAGCCACCCATTACAGTATATTGGGTAAGTATAAAAGTAGAAATGCAAGTAGCTTCACTCTAGACATGTTCATCCCCTTTGATACAGTATAGTTGCTCCTAAAATTTTCATTCTTGCTTATCAGCATGTTAAACATTTAAAAAGAACTTCGAAGGAGATTGAGGATTCTGCTATGAATTCGCAAGGCCTTAGCATGACAGCTTTTTCCAGACTTAAAAACAACTGAACTATGCACTTGTAAATGTTTAATTTCTGTGTGATTTTTAATGGGAATTAGTCATTCCTCATTTTATATGCTTGGGTTGTAAAAACTATATTTATGAAACATTTGTAAGAATTACACTTTTACAAAATTATCAAAAATTAGTCTCAGTTGAGCAGTGCTTTTCAGTGTCTGACAGTAACGACAGAAATAATTTTCAGCTTTATCGTTCAGTTAATCTTTCAAAGATCTGCTTAAATCAGAGGAACAGATAAGATTGTCATAGAATCATTATAAAATGGTTTAGGTTGGAAAGAACCTTTGAGATCATCTAGTTCCAGCTGCCCTGCTGTGGGCAGGGACACTGTTTACCAGGTTTCTCAAAGTTCCATGCAGCCTGGACTCAACTTTTCTGGGGGTGGAGTATGCTCAACTTCTCTAGGCAACCTCTTCCAGCTTTGGCACTCTTACTGAAGAATTTCTACCTATTATCTAACCCACATCTGCCATCTTTTAGTTTAAAACTATTCCCCTTTGTCCTATGATGATATGCCCGTGTAAAAAGTTTTGTTTCCAGTTTTCTTGTGGGTTCCCTGCATGTACTTGAAGGCTACTCTGAGAGTTCCCTGAAATCTATCTTCTCTGGGCTTTAAGCCCCAACTCTCTCAGCTTGTCCTCACAGGAGAGGAGGTCCTTCTCTCTTGTCATTTTCATGGCTCTCACTCCAACAGGTCCACATCCTTCTTATCTGGGGACCCCTGAGCTGAAAGCAGCAGTCTAGGTGGAGTCTTTTGCAGGCAGAGTAAAAGGACAGAATCAGCTGTTTTGATCTGCTCCTAAGTTTCCTTTGATGCAGTTGTTTTTCTGGATTGCAAGTGCACATTGCCAGGTGATGTTGATTTTCCCATTCACTAATACCCTAAGTCATTTTCCTCAGAGCTACTCTCAATCCTTTCTCTGCCCAGTCTAAAGTTGTGCTTGGGATTGCCCCAACGCAGATGCAGGACCTTGTACTTGGCCTTGTTGAACTTTGAGCTTCGTATGGACCCACCTCCTAAGCATTCCTTTCTTCCAGTGTGTCAACTGCCTCACATAGCTTGGTGTTGCTGGCAAATTCACCGAGGGTGCCCTCGATCCCACCATCACTGACAAAGATGTTAAACAGCAATGGTGCCAGTACTGACTCCTGAGGGACAGCACTTGTGACTGGTCTGCTCTTGGATATTGAACTGTTGATCACAGCTCTTTTGAGTGCAACCATGCAGCTAATTCCTTATCTACCAAGTGCTGCATTGGTCAAATCCATTCCTTTCCAGTTAGGGACAAGCATGTTGTGCAGAACAGTATTAAATGCTTTGCTCAAGTCCAGATAGATGCCATGACTCACCCTTTCCTCATCCACAGTCTCTGTAACCACATCATAGAAGGCCACCACATTTGTCATACATGGTTTGCTCTTAGTGAAAGCCATGTTGGCTGTTGCAATTCACCTAATTTTCCATCTTCATTTGCATAGACAAATTGCACTTTTGCTAAATATTTTTGTTGGGTTTTTTCCTCATTTTCTTGTTAGAAAAGATATTCTTTTTCTTGAGTGCTTTATTTCCATTTTACTGTGGTGTAGTAACTCCTGCTGATGAAAATTCATTGTGATGGTGTGTCTGCATTAGCTGTTGCATATCAAGTAGTGTTTTGTCTTCCATTATAAAGAACTTGTATTTGTTCATTTTTCGATCTGCCTTTCTCATTTCTGTAACAATTTCTGAAGCAGAGGTTATAGCAAGTGAGTTTGATTGCACTTTTACAGAAAACTGTCAATATTATATACACCCTTACATTGCTCAAGCTCATCCTCATTCAGGAGCCTGAAACTAAGTATGCTGTCTCCATGTTTATATAATAGACTGATAGTATCCTGTATGAGTGTATAATCAAAGGGACAGGTAGATGCAAATAGGCAGGAATGAATAAACAGCATGAGAGACATGGTTGTCTTGGTTCAAAAAGCTGGTTTTTGTGCAAAGAGGGACCAGGAAACAACGTGATATTGAGAACAGCTAGAGGACAATTTGTTACTCGTTTTTTGTTGTTGAATACACTTCAGTTTGAATAAGTTGCTTGAGCTAGTTGAAAAATACTGCCCCATCAAAACTGAAACAGACTTTGTCCATCTTACTTTTGGGTATATTTACTTACCTTTAAAAAAAATCGACAGTTTAGAGTTTCACAAAGTGTTTGAAAATGGAGATTTAAACTCCTATTCACCGCTGTCTGTCTGAAAAATAGGTAAACCAAATGTCTTCTTGTTTACATTTCTAAATACTCTTAAATAGCGTCATAGAATCTTAAAATTCTTTAGAACCTTAAAGATCATCTGTATGATCTAGTTCCAACCCCCAAATTGCCACCTCTGGTGTAACGGTGATGTCTTACTTACATATTTTGGTTGAAATATTTTTGGCGATGTGTTTGCAGTCCGTATGTGACACTTCATAATCCTGTACAAATGGAATTTCTTCTGGTCAAAATGATTTGAATTTAGGACAAGTCATATTCTGAATCTTGTTGTAGTGCTACTTAAAATATTGTAATTACTGCTTATAAATGTCTTGATTTGTCTTTACTGCTTACTGATCTTCACTGCTGTGAAGTGCTTATGTCTGATGATGAGAAGCCTGAGACTATTCTTGTAAGCCTTTTCTGTTCAAGTCAGATTCAGGACTTGATACTGCAGACTCTTTTGGGGTAATGACATTGCAACAGCCAACGCAGACACTTTAAATGCTTCTTATACTATTTCTTAATTGAAATTCAATGTAATATTTAATTTCTTTGAGACCATAACTTATTTTAGACTGGAACAGGATTTTTCTAGGGTTTGGAATTAAAGTTTAGAATCTTAACTGGCCCTACTGTTCTATTTGCAGTGGGATTATTACCTTTTTTCATTTGAACTGCACTACCTTTACAGGCTACTTAGCTACATAATCTTTCTCACAGTTAAAATGTTATATTTTAAGAACAAAGTAAATTTAGTTGTTGTGGTCTTTTTCTGTGACCTCTTCTCATGCATTTTAGAAGAATCCTAGTAAAGACTACTAATCTAGAAATGTGAGAAATTAGTCTATAGGAGTGAGAAACAAGCTATCCTTGATTGTTCTGTGATAAAAATGAGTTTATCTGTAAGTTGGAAAAGAATTTCAGATTATTAGTGACATACTTGGCTTCATGCAGAAGGACATACTCAGTGGGGTGATTTCCTCCACAGCCTAGTCTTTCTCAAACTTCCATTTGTTTTCTGTCTTAGCCTGTACGTTTTCATAATTTGTTTTTTGTTGCTGTTCTTTCTGGTTTGATAGAAATACTGATTAAGAAGTAAAATTCTTCTTAGGTGAATTTAGAGATTTTTGCATATGGTTAGTACTGGAACTTTTTAAAGAGAAATGTTTTCAGTCAAGGTAGTGAACTTAGCCTTTTGATTTTGATTTTGTTTTTATTTTTGTTTTCCCTTGCTAGTCATGACAGAACAATGCAAGATATTGTTTACAAACTTGTGCCAGGCCTCCAAGAAGGTAAGTTGTGGTGTGATCTTTTTAGAGGTTAATTTGCACATACCTTTTGGCACTAAAATAAAAGAGTTTCAAGTGATAAAAAAGGGGGCAGGGGTGGGCAAAGAGAAAAAAATACAGTGGAAAACCAGGCTCTTTCACGTGTATAATTTTTGGCAATTAATTTAATTTCATACCTGTACTAGCAGCAATTGAGTGTGGGGTTGGTGGGAGGCAACACAGGATGTTTCTTCCAAGAGCAGTATTATGTAAAGCAGAATAATCTTTCAACTTTTGAATGTTGCCATACTATAACTCTTAGTTTGTTTTTGTTAAACTATGTACTGTTGTGCAAGCTTTCTAGAATCTTCAGAGGTAAAATACAATGCAGAACTGCTTTTAGTCCCTGCTATTTTGAGAATTCTTTCTTACCAGGGAACTTTCCATTTCTGTTTTCATAATCTTCTTTGACACTAGATCTGTTAAACTAAAGAAATACTTTATAAAAATTCCTCAGTATTTTTTGTCTTAATGTATGTTAAAGCTTTCATTTAAATAGAGTATTTTAATCTATTTAATCTGCTTTTTAACCAGAGAATTTTGAAATATCAGTGTGATTAAATAAATACTTCCAAAATTATTTCTAGGATATTGAAAATCAGAGCTATAAATAAAAATTCAAAACCAATGTTTTGACTAAAATATGGTCATATTAAAAATGGGGGTTATTCAAAATTAGCTACAGAATTTTAAATTACATCTCATTCTAGCAATAATGCTATAGTGATATTTATACGGATTACTTTATGCTGTTGTAATTCTGAAAAACAAGAGGGGACATGACTTGATGAGATAGCAGAGATAGAAGACAGTAAATAATGACACCACCACTACTTGTTGGCAGTCCTTAAGTGGGAAGGGATTTGGAATAACTTCATAAATATTGCATTAGAACTTTATTACAGGGATTAATATTTACAATTTTAAACAGCGGAAATGAAAAAGCAAAGGGAGTTTTATCACAAACTGGGCATGGAAGTTCCAGGGGACATCAAAGGGGAGACATGTTCTGCAAAACAGCACCTAGATTCTCATCGAAATGGTAAATAGTCCTTTATTTATTCTGTCTTTGGTGGGTGGCATCTAGTAAATTGATAAATTGATCTGTTGGAAGCATGTGCCCAGTGAGTATATTACAGTTACAATTGTTTCCTAACAGTGAGGAATAGAGTCAGCATAGGATTGTTTCCCTGTCCCTTATTTGTGCACAGAATTTTTGTTTTTAGCTGTTAATAGCATGTTGCTTGTGGCAAACTCGGTCTCCATAGCAGTGCCTGCATGGGGACTGTGAAATTACCCAGCTTCTGGGCTGCTAGCAGCTGAGCTCCATAGGTGTTCTCCTCTTTCATGTCACAGGCTGTTGGCTGCAAGTGTTGCTTGAGCCAATAAGCACAATTTGGGGATAGCAAAGCTTTTTCTATACTGCAGTCCTGAAATGTGCTGTTTTAATTGTATTAGCATTAAAGGCTGCTCTGAGTATATCTGGGGTTTCTATATAAAAATAATACATATGTATCCTGTATATCTGGGTTTTTTTATCTAAGGTGAAACTAAAGCAGACGAAAATATAAATAAAGAAACTTCAGAGGAAAAACAGGAAGAAGATAATGACTACCACCGAAGTGATGAACAGGTAGGCTCATAGGGCATGCTCTAGTTTTATCTTGTGTTTTAGCTGTTGCGCTTTTGTAAGGTAACTTTGATAACCTAACAGAGAAGAAAATAAGCTTTTTTTCAAGGTGCTTTTCATGCTCTCTGATACAAACACGATGCAGTTTGGGCAACGATTTTTTTGTAAGCATGAGGTTTTACCTTTGGGTTTTGGAAGGAATGGAGAATACATTCAAATCTTCATGCAAATGTCTTTGTTCTGACTGTTTATGAATCTTCAAAGTTTGCTGTCAAAATAAATTCATGTAATTTTCCACCTTCTACAGGAGTGTACCCCAGTGTTACCATGATATATTGAGCTGAATGTGTATTGATACTGAGGAAATAAACCTCTGGCACTGTTAACACATTCTGTGAAGGTAGCTCGAGGTGCATTTGCAGTGAGAGCTGCAGATTGAGCTCTGGATGGGTGCCCGAGGCAAGAGGCCATGAACTTCCACCCCTTGACACAGGAAAGGGCACAGGGACCTGTGGCACCAGCCTGGGGACTGGACACTGAGACACAGCAGGAGCTGAGACCCCCAGGCTTTGGTGCTGTGAGGGTATGAAAGCCCAGGGGTTCCTTTGTTCAGGGTTCCTTTTCAGAGGCACCAGCTGGAGCTGGTGCTATTGCACCATGATTAAGCTGTTTGAAGGAACTGGATGTCTGAGAATCTGCCATGGGAAACCTGAGACTGAGCTGGTAAAGAATCCTGGTCTGAATGTGAGTGTGAGGGGTGTAGCTGTGAAGGGGCTTCTATCCCAGCAGAGGTGGTGTGAATGAGGCTCCCAGCATGGCTCCTGGGTGGTCAGGCAGTTTGTTAACAGCACTCTATTTTACTACCTATTTTGTTTTCAGCCTTTAATACTAAGTCAGTGTTAGCCCTCTATCATAAAAATACCATAAAAGCAGGGAAACCCGCTGTTAAGTTTTAAATACAAAGCTTGTTTGTTGTCCTCCTGGGATAAACAAGCCATGCCTTTTATGTTTTCTGGTTACGTGTGTCCAGAGTAACTTAAGCTTGGGTTAATTTGCTTTTCAGTTGCCACTTGAGGAAATTTTCAAAGGGATTGTACTCATTACTAGATCCTCCTAGTGCAATGCAAGCGTATCATCCATCACTACGAGCTTAGACTGTAACAAATAGCTGGATGGGAAAAGAAGTAATAGTGTGAAAAATTTGTCATATCATTTGTATTCATTCTTTTTAAACATATTAAAATTAAACTAGATTAGCAGTTGCATTAACAGTAAGAAATTATTTTAGAAGCAATTGTTAAGAGCTGGCACTGGTTTTCTTACCATTTTCTTGCTCTAGCTTTTAGCATATGGTCCTCTTAAGCTATTGACAACCCATGAATTTGGACTGAAGGAGCCTCGTTCTGACATCAAAAATTATTACTTGAACATTTTTGTCTTATAATTTACTACTCAGCTTATGAGATCCTAGAAAATGTGGTTTTCTTAATAGGCGTTTCTGTTTAAAGAATACTAGTTCTGTACTTTACTTAATTGGATTAATAAAAACTGCGTGTGGAATACATAAGAGAGACTGCAGAAAATTGTTGCAGCCAACTCGATTGTTTGCCTTTTCCTGAAGGTAAGCATCTGCTTGGAGTGCAATAGCAGCAAACTGCGTGGATTGAAACGAAAATGGATTCGTTGCTCTGCACAGGCAACAGTCTTGCATCTAAAGAAGTTCATTGCCAAAAAACTCAACCTTTCTTCTTTTAATGAGGTAATATTTTAATTTTTAAAAATAAGGTTACAGATACAAAATCTGGAAAGGGATGGGTTTGTTTCTTTGCAAAATGATGTCTTTTATTCTGATTTTATTTTCAGAAAACAGAAGCATACACTGCTTCTTGAATTATATGTTATTATATATATTATAATATATATTATTATATATTATAATATATATAATTATATATTTTCTTGTCCTTCTTGGTTCTGTATAAGACTTTCCATTTATTTTGAAGTGCATCTTTTTATGTGCATTTATAAATAGTTGAGCTAAAAGACTTGGTTATGTGCTTCCACATGTGTTGCAATGGACTCTGGCAAGATGATTTGTTTGGTAGATTGCAGTTGAGTTTATCCCCAGTGTTTCAGGAAGTTTGCACTCTACAAGGGCCAGGCAGAAAACGGCATTTGAACAACACTAAAGCCCAGTTGAAGAGAAAGCACTACAAATACGTTGTTCTTTTCTGTGCACTTAGTTAAGCTCAATCTGAATTTTCTGCCTACCACAACCAGAGTGTTATCAGATGCCTACCTTTCCCTGTCTTTACAGGGAGTCATGGGAAGAATTAAGTTGAAAGGTACAGAAGGAAAGGCAATACTTTGAATCTGGTCTAGAGGAAGTGCAAAATTTAACAGTGGCAAGCTATGAAAGCAGCCCTTGTTTATCACTTGGCTGGATCTTGGTCACAATTTCTGGACATCTCAGTTGACTCTCAGCTTGACATCTCTCAATTCTGTATTGTGATGCTGATTCACTGAATTTCATTAAGACATTTCATCCAAATCAAATAATCTGTTTTCCAGTGCAGTGTGTTAACACCTTGCCACTCAAACTTGTCAACAGCCAATTAGCATCTCTGTCACTTTTCTTTCATAACTTCTGTACACTTCAAACTAACATTCTGTCTTATGGTTCAAGTATATCCGCAAACTTGCCAGTCTTCCTGAAACAAACCACGAATCTCGTCTTGGTTTCAGCGGGCTCAGAGGTCATTGACTTCTGGCTTTAGCCCAGCAGCTGCATAGCTACAAAGATTGTTCAAAAGGGGTTTTTTAAAATTAATTAATATTCTTTTGGTATATGCATGTCTAAGCACTCCTGTGCACTGTGCCAATCTGTAACTTAAAAATGTACTTGGTTTCAACTGAAAGAAAAGCTTTTCAGGAGTTTCAGTTCATTGTATATTCCTTTGTTATTCCTTAATACTTTCTTAAAAAGTACATAAATGGTCCGGTAATCATTGTACCAGTACCAAGTAATGTAGAAGGAGAATTTGAGCTTGTGGTCACTTGGTTGCTTGACACAGTCTATTCTGAGTTTGAGTTATTGCCATGTAAGTGGGTTACATGCATATTCAGTCCTTTCTGGGCTGTGGGGTAAAGCATTGTAATATAAGCCACCTTGGTGGTACTATTTTCATACTTATTCCCTGGTTTTAGTTCATGTTGAAATATTGTCGTTCAGCTGATTAGAATTCATTTGATCCTCATGCTTTTCTTTTGAGGTCCTCACTGTTTCTGGTATCAAGTTTTTTTTTAAACTGAGATAGAAAACATTGTTGTGTATCTATTAAAACCTCCTAAATATGGCATATGAGTATACGGCAGACTGTTTTTTTAAAAAAGTCTATCTATGTAACAATGCCACCTGACTGGTGTTAGGTAAAAAAACCTACAAAATCATAGTATACTTAATAGCAGCTCTCTTTGAGATTTCTGTGTCTTTGTTCATGTATTCAACCTTTTTAAAAGCATGCAAAGCTTTCAGGAAAGGACATTAGTACTGCTTGGGAAGATAAATCAAGTGGTTAAGTTCAGATCATACTGTATTTCCTAGGCAGGCATTGACATTGTCTTTCAGTATTTTATGTTGAGAGCAGATACTACCTTTTCTTTCCTGGTATGATTTTTGTCTGCAGGGCAACTGCAGGATTATCAGTTGCAGTATCTTAAGAGAAAAAAGGCTTGTCAAATGTGTAGTAGTATGTGAAATATGTTGTTTGGTGTATTGGGTCCCAATGAATTAACTGTAACCTTCATTTTGTCAGCTGGATATATTATGCAATGAAGAGATTCTTGGCAAGGACCACACGCTCAAGTTTGTAGTTGTTACTAGATGGAGATTTAAGGTAGGACACAATGGTTCAATGTAAATCATGAAGTGGCCAAATAAAATGTTTATAAAATAGCGTTAATTAAGAACGATACTGCAGTATACCTTTATTAAAGGTACTTTTATAAATATCTACTACAACATCCTTAGACACCAAGTATTTATTTGTTTCCAGTAAATGAAGGAAAGGAGAATTAAGTATTCATTGCAAGAGAAAAGGGAACACTGCATTACCTGTCAAATTGTTATCAAGTCTAGCAGAGGAAGTAGAAGCTACAAAAAGTATGATTTTTAACCCCTTCAGGCAGTAAGAATGAATAACAAAATTGAACACTTAGGAGGGAAGTCAACACAGAACAGAGTCAGTATACGGATGCATGGGGTTATTGGAACAAGAAGTTCATACTGGTAATGCAAAAGCAGCTCATTCTGACCATACAGTGTACACTGAGGTGAAATCACTCAGTGGCTTTGGAGGCATATCTAAAAGAGGTCCACGTGGGAGTAGAGAAATAGGTTTCTGTCTTGGAGTTAAAAAAGAATTGACCTGTGTTAGAGTCACAGGATAAAGTCAATGGTCAGTGTTAAAAATGCAGAGATTTCACAAGTGGAATCCTACTGAAATCTCTTTCATATGGTCTTTCTGAATGACCTGGAAATGGATTTGAGTAGTTCATTAACAGTTCAGTGACAATATTGTCATTATTTAGGTTAGTGACAGATTGATGATAAACTCTTGGATGAAGTCTTTACAGTTCTGAGTGACAGGTGATTAAGAAACACCTGAAGTTGAATGTAGGTATAGATCAAAGGATACGATGCATATGTTAGGGTTTTGTGGTGTAGCAGAGAGAATCAAATAGAATGATCAAATCGATGAACACTTGTGTAGTCTACTCTTCACCTGTGAGAGATCTGTGTAATTGTGAGTCATGTGGAATGCAGAACTGTAAACTGCCTTTCCAGGTGAAAGAAGTGGTGAATGTAAAATGAAACTGAGACATGGAAGGTCCAGAACAAACAAGCTGAAGTAATTGTTTCCATGCGACACGGAACTCCATGCACAGGATGTTGTGGTTGTTAGAAGTTTGCCTATTCATAAAAAAAACCCAATAGATGCTTTTACATAAGAGGAATCAAGTGAGAGCTATTAAATGTGAAGTACCACATACCCTTAATGCTGCTTTCTAGACATGTCTCTAACTTCAGGAAGTTTTCCAAGATAATCAGATCTGCTCCTGAGATAAAGGGGAAAGATTTCTTTGTCATTTGTTTGAGCCCCACAGATGAAGTTACTCCTTGTCTTTGTCTTGGTGAATTTTTGACAGATCAGATAGCTGTTCTTGTCTTAATTTGAAGCTTTAGTTTATGACACAGAATTTCTTCCTACTGCATAAATTAGTTCTGGATTTTTTTCTTAACTTACTGGTATTTCTGTCTTGCAGAAAGCACCTCTACTGCTACATTATAGACCCAAAATGGACTTGCTGTAAGGGAACTTTATTGTCCTTCTGGACAGAGCTTTTTGCAGAGACTATCATCTGGCACCTTCTTAGTGCATCACTAATCACATGACACAAACCAGCTGAATAATTTTGGAAGACTGGAGGGCTTTCATAGTGGACTGTCCTGAATATTTCTTCTAGGGACGTGTTACCTAGACTTCTGGGCAGACAATATTTATACCTTTTTTGTACGGAAGAAAGAAGTTTCAACTCAGCAAGACACTACCAGCATTAAGTTTACAGATACTGAAAACACTTCACAGTTCCATGTAGCTCAGCCTGATTTGTCTCTTACAGTTACACACAGAAAAAAAGTGTTGTGGGGTGATATAAATATGTTGCTTTTGACACCAAGTTGCATTTAGTTACTTCTTGCATTCTAAATCTTTAAAAACTATATTTTTGCAAAGTGTTATTGTCTTATATAGTATGCCTGATTGCATTGGCTTTATTCAAGTTATTCTGTAGAGCATTGAACATGCCTGATAATACAGTGGTTGGTGATAACTTATTACGCTGCATTGAAAACTTAAGAAAATCTGGGAAACCAATAAATTTGTCATTTTTGCCCAGTTATTGTTCTCCCTCACCTTGTGTTTTAATAAAGTTTTGATACTTCTGTATACATGTTAATTTGGTAAGACTAATATAAATAATTTCAGTTGATTATGTGCCGTGATGCATATTTTGCTATGGTATAAAATGCACCATGTAATGACATACTCACAAGTGCTAGATTTGTGAATTTCTTAAAATTAAACTTTTCTTATATATTTGTGGCTTGCAGAAATCAGTTTTTAATTTAGAGATAATTTGCTATCACTAGCTGTTGAAACAGTGGCTCTTGGACAACTTTGGGAGTATTGGCAGATTTTTCATTTCACTGATTAAAACTTCCTTAGGTACTATGAGTAGCTTTGAATTTCTTTAGCTGTTTTATTATGAAACCATAGCATTTTCCTTACATCAATTCCTAGCTTACATGGGGTGGGGAGGAAGGGGGAGTCAAGACAAGATTATTTTAGCACCTTTTGGCCTTAACTAGTAATTTTGCTTGCATCAGCCCTAATGGATGCAAGGTAATACACATTCATGTATGTATGGGTGCATACATCTAAATACACATGTAACTATGTATGTTATAGAAAGCACCCTCAATGGCACTTAGCAGGGCTCACTGCACTTTTTGTACGGATTTTTGAAATAATTGGCTTTTAAAATTCATTGTTGAAAGTGATTTCTGCAAGCTATATCCACTATGTATCATCCATAGTACGATTGTAAGAACATTTGTCTGGCACAGGTGTGAAGTCACTGAAAACAGTGTATGCCCTATTATTGCCAGCTGGAAATAGTTAACCTAATTTTTGGAAGAGTTTTCCTGTCAGCTGAAAATGCTAGTTGCTATTTCTGTTATTAAACCCTGTTAATTTTTGATAAATTGTCTTTTGATAAGAAGCCCTGCTTTCTCTTGCTGTGCTCCATTGTTGCTTCTGCTAGAAAGCAAGTATTACTTGATAACCAGAAGCTGATACTGCAAGAGATTTATCTAAGCATTTTAAATATTCGTCCTCTTGAGTTTTCAAAGCACTACATTCCTCAGCATAGTGCCCTTAATTTCCTTCTCTGGAGTCTTCAGTTCTCCTTTCCCAGCTCTGCTGCTGCTTGTGCTTACCTTTGACAACAAGGCTCCTTATTTTTGATTACAGTCACAGATGTGAGTAGGAAGGAAATTTAAAAAAAAAAAAAGTGAGCAGAGAATGAAAGGGAGCCTCCTGAACTGTGGAGATGGAAAGGAGAGCCACACAAAGGCCAGAACATGCTGCTGTCCTTGCAGGTGAAATTCTAAGATAGCTGCATTTGAATGTTTAGGTTAACACAGAACTCCACATCTGGTTCTTGTGTGGTGTTGTGTGTGTGTGCATGTCTGTGATTCATGGAATCAAATTTGGCTCCGATTTTGTCTTGCTGTTTGTGTATTTTCAGTATTTTTTCTGTCTTTAGCATTACTTGATCTGGCAGAAAAGAACAAATGAGATCATGTGTCTACCATTTTTTAAAACTGTCCGTGAAAGCAGTGAATGCAGGTGGTATGGATGTGTACACAAGCTGACATACTGGGCCTCTCTGGAGCTGTTTCTTACGTTGTTGTTACTGTTCTAGTGTAAGTAAGAGGCTGGCTTTGCCACTGAGGCACTGAGAATATGGACAGGACTGTAGGGGTTCCCATTCTGTGCACCCAGAGTATACACACAGTGGCTGCACCTGATGTAGACATAAAACTAAAGCTGCCAGACAGCATTCTGATTAATCGCCTTAATCAGAATATATATATATATATATATATACACACAAACAAAAATATATATACATATACACATATAAATGAGATCTGTCTACCTCAAGTGTGTGTACTGCAGAAAATTTTTGTATGACTAGATATTGACGCAGTGCTGTTAAAGTACACTGGGATTTCATTGTTTCCTTGTGTACTTGAGCAACTGAGAAATTAATTACGAACGCAAATTCAGAAGCCTTTCAAATCTATCTCTTGCTGTAACAACTTACAATACAAAACTTAAAAGTTTATAACCATCTTTAGAATCACTTGAATTTGTTATGGTGCTATCAGTATATAGAAAACTGTTTGTATGGATACATAAATTCAAGCCAGTATTAATATCTATAGCTGGGGTTTTTGCTTGTAATTGTGTGTAACTGCTTTTGCAATGTGTTTAATCTGATAAAACCGCACCAGTAAAAAAAAACAAAACAAAAAAAAACAAAAAAAAAGACAAAACAAAAAAAAAACACCAAAAAAACCCAAAAAACCAACAAAAAACCCAACAAAAACAAACAAAGAAAACCAAACAAAAAACCCCCAAACCAACAAAAAGTCCCAAAGTTACTCAGTTGTTTTTCTGAATCACATGTGATAACATCTTCACTACAAAAATTGCCCTTGGGAGTGGTGTAACTGTGTCTGTACCATATGTTAGTCTCACTAGAAGACTACAATGTATAGCAAGGTCTTCTATGGGTCAGAGCCTTGTTTAATTTCTGTGACACTTAAGAGACAATTTATATCAAGATTATACTGGCTAAAGTAACCCTGGTATTGTTCAAAGTTGAACTAAAATTTGGACTTGGCCATAGATATTTCTTAGTCCTGGTGAGATCATGGTAGTTTATTTTGGCTTTTGTGAAGATGCCATTACTGTGAAGTAGTTTTTACAATTTCTTATGCTGGTAAATAGTTGCAGTAAGGAAGTATCTTGTTGCATTATCCTCAGCAGCAATGAGACTGATGAATCACCTGGGCTTAGAGTCTCATTAAGTATACTTTCATTGAAAATAAAGAATTCAGATAAAATATATAATACTGAATTTAAGTAAGATTTGGGGGTTTAAATTTTAACTTTATAAAATTATTTATTCTATTTTAAGCCTTCTGTCTTATTTTACCATCCAAGTATTTTTGGTTTCAGTGGTCCAGCTTTATTTACGGGCATATAAAATGAAATTATAAGATGTTTTTACAAGCTTCTTCCTTTTACATTGAGTTTGAGTAGCTTTCATCTGTATGTTTTTGTTTTGTATGGATAAAGAGCATTACTTATGCTTTTGTGCAATAGGTTTGAACATGCATTTATTAGGCTTATGTTTAAATTGTAAATGTAGCATCTACTTACCATTACATTTAAAAGGAATGTAGATGGCTTTTCTCACTTGTTCAAATGGAGTTTTATTTGGGGCTGTTACTTGGGGGTGGGTGTGTGTGTTTTATGCTTTGTTCCATTTTTTATTTTAAGAGTGAAATGGGGGATTTAAAAATTCTGTAAGTACAAGAACTATCTGTCAGCAATATTTTAAAATAAACGATCTTGCAAGAAACCTTAATGTGAATTGTGGAAGCAATCGACAAGACTTGCAGCCTATCTGAAAATGTTTTGTGCCATTGTTAAGTCTGGTATATTTGTGTACCATCACACCTGGGAATATTTTTTCTATTGGTTGTGCAATAGTATACACAACATTGTCACTCAGGAGATATGGGACCATAAAAAATATCAGACTACATCTAAGATGGTGCTATTTTTTCCAATAGGCTATGAGCCTTTGAAAGCTTATCTGGCTCTTATTGTCTTTATAACAACACAGTCCTAGGGGATTTACAGATTTTTTTTTCTACTAGATGATAAATATAACTTGCTATTTTACAGCATTCTGCATATTACATGGAGATAAATATAATAGGAAAAAGCCAACCAGTCTGTACATCAGTGAGATGAATCTTAGGTACACATTTTGTACAGAAGGCTTTACAGAACAGAAAAATCAAGTTTCTGCTTTTCCTCAGGTAATCACTTCAGTTTGGATGTTTCACTGAAAATATTAATGCAACTTCAGTTAGTCTGTCTAAAGTTGATAACAGGGAAAGAAATTGTTCCACATACAAGTCTCCCTATATAAGATATAATTAGATGTTACTTGGGTCTTGAGATCTCTTCTTTGAAGAAAAAGCTGCAGAAAACAATATTAAAGAACGTGGAACAATGCTTCAATCTCTGCTCTAATCAAAACTTGCAGTCAGGATAAAAATTACATAGGAACTTGGGTCTTGTGGCAAGTCAACAGGTAATGTTTTACCTGTTTATTTATATACAAATTAAAGATACTACTCTGCTATTTGCTCTATATTTTGTCCTACTTAAGAGTTTTTTGGAAATCTTTTGAAGCCACAATAACCTGTCTGTATCCTGGTGGTAGGGTAGGAATTAAATGTCCAATTCTATGAACATTTACATTGGTGGTTTTACTAATAACCTGAGTGGTTCCATCAGTGGGATCATTCATTCAAACAGAGGTATAGCTGAAGTAAGAACTCCTGAGTTTTGAATACTGATACTCCACTATTTTTGTTATTTCTGTTTGAAACTGAAAATATTGGTTTGAGAGAATCTTTTATTCAAGTGACTTATCTGGACAAATGGAACGTTTGTTCTTTCCTTCTGCAAACAGGATCATTTTGCAGTTAAGGGACAATTAGCCAGTGCAACCACTAAGCCTTTTATCCTCATATGTGGCATAATAAAGATTCTGGAACTGTCAGAGTGTAAAACCATATTTTTGGCTTAGCTTCATTTAAGAGTTTACAATTTTTTATGCTTTGTGTTGCTGTGTAATTTCTGTACTACTGGTGGCTAGTTTTGTCTGAATAAGCCTTTTGGGGATTAATGCTTAATGTTTTGATTTTATGATAGTGAAGCTTGTATCCAGTGTTTTGCCAATGAATATTATATGCTTGTTAATAAAAGCAGAGAAACTAACAAATGCTGTGAGGCTGGAAGTTTTTGTCCCATTCTCTCCTGGGAACATAAGGAACTAGCAGTCATCGTAGCACTGAATAAATGCAGTGTGAAACAGAGGTGGTGTGGCATTGCATTGTCATAAAATTTGCCTTTTACTCAAAGCACAAGGATGGCCTAAAGTATTACTCCACTGCCAGAATGTCTGTGACAAGTGTGTATCAAGTAACACAAGCCAGATACGAAATTAAATGGCTTCAGTCAGCAAGAGGTAAAACAGCATTATCCTGGTGTCTTTATGTACTTGGATAAAAAGGTACTTACCTGATCTGTTCCTTTCAACCTTACTCTTACAAATGCCTGGTTGAGACAATGCAAAACAGATGCTACAGTAATTGAATTTCTTGCAGCATCTACATGTAGATGTATAGCATCTAGCAGTAATGTAGATATATAACTTGTGAACTGCTCTACATGTTGAGAGAGCAGCACCTTTATTTATGCTCTTGGTTTGTTTGGAACTGCCAGCAACTCCAGGCTGCTTTGAAGTCAGTTTTATTCATACATGTATTTTTTATTTGTACTGATATCACCCATGCATAATTGTCCTGAGGAAATTAGCTTCACTTACTAGCTTCATTGAAATATCAGTATGAGAGACTAACTGCAGAAAAGTCCCTTTGCCTGTGTACAGTCACTTAAAACTGAATGAAAATTAGCACTAATTCAGCAAGCATTACATTATGTAAGTATTCCATGCCTTTATTATAAGTGGTTCTAATACTTACCTGAACCTGTACTACTGGTTGCTTCCATCTATTTGTGAAGTAACCAGTGATGGGTCTGGCTCCCTCCCTTTTGTGAACATGGTGTTATTCTAATAAATAAAGAGTGAAAACTTTTCCGGTTTGACTGAAATTCCCAAGGATCACAAAAAGAAATTGTGCTACCTGTTGTGTTTGCTAGCCCTGAAAGCATAAACTTGCCCTACAGCCAGTAGGAGCTAACTACATTTCTTTCCCCAGAGCTAATACAATATGAAAAAGTTTTTACTGGTACTTCTTACTTTATATGTAACTGATATTTTCTTATTTTGCTGATTGACTATTCCGCTATAAAACATCGTTATTTTGAGTGGAATACCTCTTT